TTTGGTTTTACTGTCAAAAAAAAAAAAAAGTAACCCAACAACAACAACCCCCTTTGCCCCCACGCAAAGAAAACAAAAGCAAACAAACAAAAAACAGGGTTTCAAAAAAAAAAAAAAAAAAAAAAAAAAAAAAAAAAAAAAAAAAAAAAACGCCAAAAAGACAAAAGAAACGTAACAAAAGAAGATCCCCTGTGAAACCTATTCGGACCATGAAAAATGATCACAACAGAAAGAAGGAGAAGTTATCTGAGAAGAATGAAGAGCCAAGAAACAAATCCACACACGCACACACACATCAAAAAAAAGTCATTTTGAAAGATCATCCAAACCTCTCTTCAAAACGTCTAGTCTTGTCTCTGACAATTCCCTCAGTGTTTCCACTCTGGCCTCCAGAGAGTCAAGGACTTTTTCCATGTCATCCAGGAGCAATGAGACTTCCCGAGCCCGCTTCATTGCATCTGCTCCAAAAGGCAAAAGAACTCTATAGTTAAAGACACCGGTGAGTAATTTCTTCATTGATTCAGCAGCTTCTGCCACCCCACGGTAGGCCATCAAGGCGCGGCTACAGTCTGTTGCTTTGTGAAGCGCGTCCTTGCTAAGGAATCGTTGGCTCATACCCGAGTCATCGCACCCCGCAAAAATACTATTTAGCCGACTCTCCACCATCTGTAGAGCCTCCCCCAATTCAACGGTATCATCCACGGAATCCAAAGGATCATTACCCACCAAAGAGCGACCTAATTTTTGAAGGAAAAAACCCACTTCCTCACCAAGGTATTGCAACTCGCTTTCAATCTGAAAAAGTTTCTCCCAATCAGTCACCCTTGAACTTTTGTGATGGTGACTTAAAAAAGGGAAGTTGACAGGAGATAACTCGGCATCTTTTCCACAAAAATGAAGGGAATTGCCCATTTTCCAGTCCATTTGCATTTCCCCAACGCAGTCAAGGCCGCCCGCTCCATGGCCTTCGGCCTCATAAGACGCGACTCCGTGTGTATCAAAATGAACGGGCAACGAAACAGTGCTTGCATTTTCTTCAAGGTTAGTATGCATATGCCTGAATATATACGTGTTTAAGCTCACACGGACAAACTAAGCAAAAACAAACAAATGCCCAAATATATCATTCGAAAGGAAAATGCTTCGAGAAATGCGGTTTAATCACATACAGAAAAAAAAAAAAAAAAAAAAAAAAAGAAAAAAAAAAAAATAAAGCGAATGAATTAAAGCCGCACATTCTTTTAATTAAAGGAGCTAAATAGGTGCTGACTGTCCATAGGGCATCCTAGATCGAGTATCTTCCATGAGAACGCTGAATTCCCTTTCCATTTCATCTATACGAGCCAATAAAGAATCATACTCTGTTTTCATCGAATTGATAGCGTCTTCATGTTCTGTTTCTGCCTTTTTTGCCTTTTCAGTAAGCCTAATTTTTTCCTCCTCGAGACGGTTTAAGGTTTCATCCAGGTCTGTACAGGTGCGTATTTTTTCATCTTCCTCTGTTTTGTATTGACGCACAAAATCGGTTAGCACATCTACTCTATTCAATGTAGCAAGACGAAGGTCATCTTCAAATTTTGCACAAACGAACTCCAGCTCTTTTTTCTCTCGCCTCAAACCGAATATTTCCTCAAGCTGTCCGGCATATTCTGCCTTTAGGGCAGACAAGCGTATGCCCATTTTTACAATATCTTCATTTAACTGTTGTTCATCATCCTGAAGATCCTTGTCTGACTTGGAATTTTTTTTGTTTTCTTTTGGTGGCATCACTTTTTCGTTGGCAAAAAAAAAGGTGATTCAGTCAACTTCAGAAAAGACAAAAACAAGGAAAGCCAAAAAAAGAAACAAAAAATGCAAAAAAAAAAAAAAAAAACAAAACAACAACAACAACAACAACAAAAAAAAAAAAAAATAATAATAAATAACAACGAAACAAAATAATAATAGTAATAACAACAAACAAAAATAAATAAATAAGGTCGCCAAACTACGGAGCAGTGAATTCAACAACAGCACGCGGCAACACCAGTACCAAGGAGATAAAGAGAGACAAAAAGAGTTGGAGGAAGTTTTTCACAAATTCCCACCAAGTATTAAAGTTAGGATTGAGTAACGAACCACCTTCCTGCCTCGGCAGGATCCACATTCGCTGCCTTTTGAATGAACGGATGATGGAGCAACTCAGTAGCTGTCGGTCGTGAGCTAACAGGACGGAGGCATTGATCGACAAAATCAATAAGCTCAGAGCTGTGCTCACGGCCATCAGCTGTCCAATCAACCCTTGCGGTTCTCGTAGCAATAGCTTGCATAAGATCATATAGGCTATGCTTCATCGACGCAAAAGGATATGCCCCCAACGCGCATTCTGCTATTGTCAACCCTACGCTCCATATATCACTGTTGAAGGAGTACGGTTGACCTTGAATTCGCTCGGGACTCATATATATGAGCGATCCTTGAGCGGACAGTGTTTCTACATCTCCACCAGAAAACCTTTTTGCGACACCAAAATCCGCTATTTTAACTTCGCCTTTCGAATTTGCAAGAGCATTTACAGGTTTTATGTCACGATGAATTACTTTTGAAGCGTGAAGGTGTTCCAATCCCTGAAGCAACTCCCTCGCCACGTATGCTAACATCACTTCGTTGAAATTATTAGGATGACGCCTGAGCACATCGGCAATGCTCCCAGCGTCCATATATTCCAGCACAATATAAACT